GCCTACCATAAGCTATCAACTAATTCTGTTTTCTTTGTAAAACTGCATGCATGCTTGAAAGGAATGAGTGGCATCAGCATTTCAAAGGCAAGCTTCCAGTTACTTGACTGGCACCTACCCACTACCGTACCTTGATTTTTTCTTTTGTCAGGTGATAACAGGTCGCCTTATGTAGTGTAGGAGCTGTCACAATAGACGAAACTATGATTCACACTTGGGGCTTTCTAAACACTGACATCAACAGCATTGTTTAACAGCCTGGCGTGGTAGCTATATTCCAGACCTTTGAATCACTGCCCTTAAAAATGTTCAGCGTTTAAATGCCTGGAATTGTTAAATCGTTCTATTGAATTAATAGGGATGACAATTTATCCTATGTAGTACTTGCTATCAAGCTATATTAATGGATATTAGCTATTAAAATGGCATTAAAAATGAAATCAATGAAAAATTTAATACAATAAAATATTTCGAAATCATTTGTAATTAATGCTGGATGAACAGATATATACATTTCCTGCTAATGATACAGTTAACACAATAAACTGATAACACAATCATGGCTTTTGTATTTTTGGACCATACTGTTATTAATGTAATTGTAATCTTTAAAATTTATTTTACTTTTACTTTGAGCTTGTTGGGAGATACAGAGTTGGCCTGGTGATGGCTGCTTTAGCTGGCCATCAAATATGATTACCCTAGCAAATACAACGTTGGCATGCAAGAGAAACCAGGGTTTAAATGTAACAGTGCTTGATTATGGATGGGCTTCAGCTGTGCAGACTGATTGCAAAGTAGTGAAGATTCAGTGCTAGGTCGAGCCCACGAGATAAAATGGGGACCACAGGAAAAAAGGCCACACGACAGGACCTGGAAACACATAGGAACACATAGGAAAATGCTTGTTGAGGAGGGCGTTAAACACAGAAAAGACCAGATGGTTTCTTTTTATGCTATGACTAATGCCTTAAAGCATCATCTGTGTGTTTTTGACTTTCAGAAGGATTATAAGGAACAAACCACCTCCATCACAGGTGACGCTGAGAGCAATTTAACCACACATTTGTTTAAAAGCCTCACCTGTGAGACACAATGCCACTTAATCTGGATGCAAACAAGCAAATGCAAACCCATATGAAAAGAACTGCACACACAGCATGCTATCGCCCTCATCGGTTTACAGTCTGGAGATAAGAGGACATTGGTGATACAAAATGTAAAACACGAACACTTGCACACCCACAACCATGGCCCGTTCTTATGACTAACATTTCTCCGATGAATCATCATGTGCTGATTACTGTTAGTGTACAGCGTGTTCAGGTTAATTTCCTACATTAAAACAAAGATGACATTTACCGAATGTGCGCCCATTGACATGGAACAAGGCAGAGACAAATAAACACCCTGTGGGTGGAGATCAAGATTTTGGACAAACAATGAGATAAAGTTTTTTTTACCTCTGACTTAAAAATTAAACCAGCCAACGAAACAACCGGCAGAAGCTATGTAGAAAATTACGTGTGCATAGAACTTAGGAATGCACTATTGTCACCTCGCCCAACAAAATCCAAAGTGAAAATTGCTGTGTAATATTTAGTATGCCCTCATACCCGCATGTAAAAACTAAAACTAAAGCTATTCTTAATAGCTGGTCGGTTCAAAAGCACAAACTCATGTAAATGAATACAGTTTTTTTTTACCTTAAAATAGACAGAAAAAGCAAACAGAAAGGTTCAGAGGCGTTTTCAATAATTCAGTAACCTCACTGACCTCACACAGACTGGTGTGACTGCAGCCACGCCAGACAAGTAGTCAGTCAGGTGGCTGCTGAAATGTGACTTTGGTATTTGTAGTTGTGGCGAGCCTGCTCCCTCAGTCATAACATATCTTTGACTATTTTGTAATTAACAGTGAGCCTTAGAAGTTTTCTTTTTCAGTTCTTTTATTTGTTATGAAATGCCTCTTCTTTATGAAAGAGCATTTGAAGTATCTGAGGGTGAAAGGACTTTGTTTGAGGTTCTTTTGTGCATTTGAGAACAAATGACACGACCGCACTGGCAGAGATAAAGTACCTGATGCATGTAGGTTAGGTAACAATGACAAACAGTGCTGTTATGAATGGACCATACTGTATATGGCAGCACAACGTAGGATTTATAAAATATTTTTGATTTTTTATACCTGACAAAGAGCAGAAGACAATTTAGAAGAAGACTCTTTGTTCAGGTGCTGTGAAGATATAGCCCACCTATTTATACTGTAACATCTGAAGTTTGTCTGTTGTAGTATTATATCTGATCTGAATATTGGCTCAAATGTACGGTGGCCCTGAGAGGCCAAATGGACTGCAACTTAAGAAAACATCAGCAATAAGAAAAATGCTGCAAAAGCACACAAAACACAACGGAAATAGGAAAAAACAAAACAGAAATAGGAAAAATGAAAACAGAACACAAGGGAAGTGTTTCTGGTGAGACAATAACCCGACGGAGCAGTTGCAGGAACCCAAAACATGGTATGCCTGTTTTATCATGATTCATGTAATACCAATGACAGATTTTTAGACTAAGAGTTAGGCTAACACGCTTACAGCTCATCTTTTCTTTCCTCACAAACCCGATAGATCCTCCACTTCTTTTAAGTGCCTCCCAATGCAATTCTTAGCATATTTTGGTTCCTGCAAGTGGTTATTGGTTATTGTCTCTCCAGAAACACTTCCCTTGTGCTTTTGGAAATCTGTTCTTTCCTATTTGTGTTTTGTTTATCCTATATCCGTTGTGTTTTGTGTGCTATTGCAGTGTTTTTCTTATTGCTGGTGTTTTTTTTAAGTTCATCTGGATGTAGCATAACCAGTATATTTGCATTATGATGATTGTTCAGTGGTTATATATGCATATTAACAATCATGAAACTGACCTAACAGCCCATTGTTAGTCTCTAGTACAATTTCCGATCATTATGCAGATGTACTGTTTATCAGGCTGGGAAAACCTGCAGTCAGCTGAGACTGAAGAAGTCACATGGCTGAGTGTAAAAATCCAGATGAGTCCAGATGAACAAAATCAGCTTTCTGGAATTTCCTTACCTACGCGAGCATTCATCAGGTGATATGTAGTGGGTGTTTTCTTGGCACACATTGGGCCCCTCAGTACCAAAGTTGTTTAAACACCACAGACTACCTAAGTATTTTTGCTGACTATGTCCATCCCTTCCAGCATAATAACAAACCATAGCACAAGTCATCTCAAGCTGGTTTCTTGATCATCACAATGAGTTCACTGTACTCAAAAATGATCTCCACAGTCACCAGATCTCGATCCCATAAGGCGTCTTCGGGATGTGGTGGGATAAGAGATTCAAATCATGGATGTGCAGCTGACACATCTGCAGCAGCTGTGTGTTGCTATCATTTCAACATGGACAGAAATCTCAGAGGAATCATTTCGGCACCTTGTTGAATCTATGCCACGTAATACAGTGTCCGAGTGTACAATGTGATCATTTTTAATGACGCTCTGACAAACAGCACAGTAGATTCTTGTTGTGAAGCTCCACGATGACTAAACTTTAGATGCTGAATACCCTAAAATGTTCTACATTTCTGCATATATCTTATAGAAGTTCCTAAAGACGATCTTAATGCTAAATGTCAAAGAATTACGGAAACGCATTGATGGAGAATTACTAAGCTACATTTAAAGACACTGAAAAATCAACCTCAACAATCTAATGTGTGAATTTTTAACTATAATTCTCCAGATTGCCTATATGACAAGTGGAAAGTTATAATATTAATGTTTAACTGAATTGATGTGATGCATTTGTGTGAAAGTGTTTACACGTTTAGCAATTTCAGTTAACAGTGGTGTGCTTTACTGATGGGGAGTTTTTTTCAGCTTTCCAGTGACGTGCAGATCGCCTCATTACAGTAGCAGTTGTGGGATGAATGCAAAGGTTGAAGTTACAAATAAGTGTCTTTAATGACTTGGAAATGTTAAATCAATTATGCATCGTATTGCTGCACAAGTCACTGCATTCCTCTCTGGAAAAATGAGGCAACAGGACATTTAGATGCCCTGCCTATGGTAATGCTATCGTGATAATTGGATCTTGTTTCCTAAGTGCATTCAAGTCTTCTTGTAAGAGATCGTCACTTTAACTGATTGGAATTAATCAACTCAGAAGCCCAAGCCTCCCTTAAAAGGTTCCCCAATAACCCCATAGTTTTATGGATGAGATTACTGTCAGCTTTGAAGCCACAAAAACAGCGTTTGTTTAACCATTGTCTTTATGATCTTTTGTTCTGACGCACTTTGTGATCTTTTATCTTGAAAGGAAATCTTAGTCACTTATTTACTTTATACTTGTGCACACCTGAACTTATCAGTTAAAATGCAGATGATATGATTGTGCACGTCCCATGATTTCTGGGAGTCAGGGCTTTTGGCCCATCTGAGAGAAAACAAGAAGAGGTCAGATGTGTCACTGGGGATTGATATCTGTGTTAGTGTTGCGTGAAGGCATGCTACACTCTGTTTCTGACTGTTCCTCTTCTCCCACTCTGTATGTTACGCAACAACAGAGGAAAAGTACCCGTCCCAGTGTCAGGTATCAGTGAGCTGCTGTACGTCTGCTCTCATTTTATTCGGCCTCACACAAAACATTGTGCAAGATTACTTCCAAGAACTGGAGTACAACATGGAGCTGTTTTGATCCACCCAGACTGACACGAGGAAGAGATTTATGTTCTGGAGGGAGTGCACGGTCAAATTTGTTCATGCACTCGTGCTCCAGCACACAAACACACACTTGTGAATATACAGCGTGTGCAAGGCGAGCAAAGCAAGAGCTATAGCGCTTTCCTTCCTGTGCTGAAAATTCCTACTGGGCAATATGAACTGTCAATAGAAAATCTTCTTCTGCACATCACTTGTGAAATATATGAACTTCTAATCTTCTCTTCTGAAAATTAAGTGAAGACAAGGACACAGAGAGTGTGTGGAGCCTCACCAAGCTTTATTTACATGCGCACTATTTCTTATACAAACTTCAAAATTCAAAATGTAATACACAGGAAAATACCCACTAACATTAAGTTGAGAATAAGCAAGATTAATAAAGAGCAAAAGTTCAAAGGGAAAAGTTCAGAGTGTGTATGAAAGGGAGCTGGCCTGGGCTTCTTAACAAGGATGGAAGGACTCATAAGAAGATAATATAAAGAAAATGTCCAAGAGGTGATTAAGGTTTCTAGTGGTATGTGTCTATTTTTGCTTTTCTCAGCTTTAAACCAGCATATTTTGTTCTGCGCGTGTGTGTCGAGCATGAGAGGAGGTCATCTGTGCCTGAATGAAGCAGTGGTTTTGTGAAAGGCCTGCTCAGCTATGACTACGAGAAAACTACCCTCCCAAAGAGTCGATGCATTTTTACACCGAGCCGAGTGCACATAATGTTAGGAACGCCTTTTAGATTTGATATTTCCCAAATTGATAAGAGCTCTTTTCAAAGATGACTGCGTTCCCCGGATTTCACTTTGCCTGTCGTCTTCACAGGAGTAAGTAATTTTAAGTACAGACAGTGTAGATGAATTCAAATGCTTAACAGTTCAGGTGATGGCTCAGGAGTCCCCCTGACAACAGAAAAGACAGATAGTGTTCTGGAAATTTTAGATGTAGCAAGGTGTTGGTAATTCCAGCTTGCTGACATTTTCACTATGTCAGTGTAATGGGTTTGTAATAATAATAATAATATCGGAGGATGGTGCAAGTGCTCCTCTTTAAGCCCTGATTATTACTTTTTTATTTTTTAATTTTTTAAAAAGGAACAGAGTGTTTTAGCACTAAAAACACAGTGTTCCTCTCAGGTTGAGAAAGGTCCAGCTAGCTCATGCGCTAAACCTCAGTTAGTACAACAGACCATTCTAGCCAACCATGCACACCCACTCCTCCTTCCTTCCTTAGCTTCAAAGAGATATACACGAATCTGTACACTGATATACATGACAGGGAATACACTTCATGTCACTGCCCCCAAATGGAGAAGGGGTCTCCAGATGCTACAACAATGGTGCCTTCCACCATTTCCAAAATCTGGTTCAACAATTAAAATTGCTGGTAACAGTTTTCCCTCCTTACCCGGCGCATGATGTATTTGCTATTTCTTCAAATTCAGAGGTATGACAAACCCCAAGGGTCAAGTACTACATGAGCATATAAGGACATACAGCGAGTAAATATGCATTTCACACGGTTCATAATGCATAAATACATACATGCATACAGTCGGCTGTTCTGTATGCACCGCGAGGAGCTACAAACCCTCGTGAGATTAATTCAGTTGAAATAAAACTCCATCGATAAACACGTACACACGTTAACATGTATTTAGGAGATACAGGAAGTCACCTGCAGGAGCACCAGGCGTGTCCACGAGGGGATCTGTGTGTGTGTGTGTGTGTCAAGAGTCAAACAAGAGGAGAAAAAAGCTATGACAACAAAACCAAAAAACAACAGACTGTGTGAAGTAATAATCCTGACATTTATCGTCCTTCTAATTCTTCATCCTGGTGGCCAAAAGTTCACAGGTTACAAGTTCAGAAACACAAAGAAAATATGTTTTCCCCCCCAAGAAACGTTAAAATACTACTCGACTGTGGCTTGACGTTTCTTAAATGGAAAGCCTTCCTTCCTCACCCCCTGAGTGATTCTGTATATGCATAACAAGCCCCACAATCTCACGACAAGAAACCTGCAGAGCTTAACATGGATCCCTGCTATTTTTTTGCTTTTTTTTTTTCCCCGTGTGTGTGTGTGTGTGTGTGTATTTTAAGTGTGTGCATAAATGTGTGTGCTGTCATTTGGCTGCCAGCATATCCTACTGTTTATTTCAAGTAATTTGGCAATATACAGAGATAGCTTATTGTTTTAATCAAGAAACAAATGGCTTCTAGAGGAATGAGCCTATAAAAGGAAAAAAAAAAAGACAACAACCTTCTCCCTTTGCTCAAACTTATCATGCTACAAGTGGCCGCAGCTCGAGGCTTCTGTGGGTTTTGGGTAAAAACAGGAAAAAAAAAAGAACAGAAAATATGCACAGCTTCCTCGCAGGACAGGATTCAACACTGTTTATATAGCACCTGTTGTGGTGTGGAAATGTTCACAACCCTAGGACACAGGTTTTTGTTTTGGCTACATCGAATGCTGTGATAAATGACCTCAACAGAACTCACCAGAAGTTAGGAAAGCAATGAGAAGACATACAAGATCTTTTCCCTCTTGAATTTTTACCTGCCCTGCACTATTCTGTACCAGAAGTTTTCTTCCTCTAGTCTTTTGATATATACAAGGATAAAACAAAAGCTGTAGCAATCATCTAATCATAATATAACCCTCAGTATGCTGCTGTTATTTCAAAGTCATGCATCATATAATATAGAAAACAGCAAGTGCATTGTGTTAAATTGAGGAATTTAAACTTCTGGGGTTTTGGAGATTTCGCAATCTGGGGCAACGTTTCAGTTTGTCTACACATGGACTGAATAAGTGGCCACTCAGTGAGTACGACACTCCCATTTCCACCTTTTCATTTCACCAGTACAATGACTCTTTCTCTACAGACATTTTTGATTAAGAAACAAATATGATAAAACAGGAACTCAAAAAACAACAACAACAACAACATATGACATTTAAAATTACTTAGAACAGTGGGAATTTCTTTTTCAGTATTACACGTCTCAGGAAACCACTGGATCTGATTTACACCACAACATGTCTTGTTTTTTTTTTCTCTTTACACTTCAGTGGGAACAACTGCACCATGCTCTCCTTCGATTCTTTGCTTGCCATTTAGTCCTCAATTTCCACCTGAAGACCCCTTTTTGATAAGCAGTGTCTCTTTGATATCAGCAGACTGGGCGTCAAAGGAAAATTGCATAATTCTAAGATTTGTGAGTTTCTTGTGATTGTTAGATGTAGCTTTCGTTTTTGCTGTTGTCGTTTCACAAGAAGCTTTGAGGGCTCATGCGCAGCATCTCTCGAGTCTGCAGGATCTTTCATGGTTCACCAGTGTGGGAGCGAAGGTAAAGCTCTCAAGAGGAAGTCTTCTTCTGTAAACACAGGGTTGGTTATTTTACATTGTGCTGATGGCAGGTTTGGCAAAAAGGATGTTGTGTGTCCGATCTTCTCTTGCACCACACAGGTCAGACCTGGAATGAAAAAGATATGATTATCTTTTTGTGTTCGTAAGAATGAAAATCTTTTCCCTTCTCAAGCTTTTAAGTCACATTTTTGAATAAGTAGATTGGCAAATGTCACTGGCTCATATTAACAACAAATTTCTGTTCACTGCTGGTTATTTGCAGCTGCAAGCTAGGTGCTTAAAGCTACCACTCCTGCATATGTTTCGTAATACATGCATTTGAATATGAATTATTGAATATATGAATTATTCCTGATCAAGTCCTCATCACATACTTCCTAGAAACCCAAGAAACCAGTGGTTGACTGACATTTCTTCAGCAGTGTGCACATGACATCATGACATCACTGGAGAAACCTCAATTGAAGTTTATGGGAAAATTACTTCTTCTCACTCTAATTAAGACCTCAGTAAACGTTTTGCTGGTGAATTTATGGTCTCAGTCATATTTAATTAAGCATGATGTTCATTTCATAAATGGTAACAATAAATTGAAACAAATGAAGGGAATGTATCTGGGCAAGTCTTCCTTGTGGTAGACAAGTTGCTACTGTTTGATTATGCAGCTTTACTGGGTTCTTGGTCATATTCAACCCTCACTCACGACTACAGGATTTTAAAAAAATTGATGATAATGGCCAAAATTCCCAATTCAAAGCTGCGAAACAATATCTTCAATGTCACAACATCATGGCAGCTATTTTCATCTTTTACAGACCAAATACTTATTTCACTCATGACAAGTAGATCAATTTATAACTTTTATGGGTGATATTCTTTCTCTGTCAATCAATTGAAACAACCTTTAAAATAGACACTGCTTATTTCTTTATAAGTGAGCAAACTTACAAATTCAGCAGGGGGTCAAATAATTATTTCCCCAAAATGTATATGCAGTCCACATCCTTATTAAAAACATGTAACATGTAAGGAAAAAAACTGCTGGAGAAGTTTTTTTATTGTGTCAATGTGATTTAGGAAGAACAATTAAGGTCGAAGTGGTTCAATAAAGAAAAAAACCCCCAGTAATTTTGTTCTGTGAAGTCCTTTCTTGACTCCTGTTATTATCACATCATCTTAGTGCTTTTGTCTAAGGCTGTCTCTATTCATGACACAAATAACTCTACAACCCTACTGTGAGCATGACGTGTACTAGACCAAATTTTACAGAGTTTTTTTCAGGAAAAAAAAAACAAAACTAATTAGCTCATACATCAAATTCCCCATTAGATACTTCAAAACAAACAACACTTCAATTTACATACCTGCTCTGCTCCCACCCTCTCAGCCGGGTACCCAGCTCTGAGAGGTCTGCTTGGTGTTTGTGAAGTTGCTGACTCCATTCATGTTGGCAAGAGAGTCAAAGTTAAAATCCAGGCCATCTGCATCCATAAGATCGTTCCTGATGATGGAGTCCATGTCGCATTCCAGGCTGCCATTGAATATGTCCAGGTCCAGATCTGTGGGGAAACGATCCTGATAGTTCCCTCCATTGCTGCTAACTGTCCCACTCAGGAAGATTGAGGTGTCAATCTGCATGGAGGAAGACCCATTTCCTCCCAGGGGTGAGAGCAGGAGCTGCTGTTTGGCATTAGCCAGAGTGTTAGCCTCATTCACTAGGTTCAAGCCTCCATTTATAGACCTCAGAGAGCTGTGATTGTGGTTGTTACTTCGCAGCATCTCTTGTTGGTTGCTTTGAAGTCCTCCAGTTGTCCCAAAAGTCATGACAGGATCATTGCGGAGCATGAGGCCACGGCGGGAGTTCTGGGAAACGAGGGCAGCTGCACTGGCCTGTGACATCAATGGATCTGACTGGGTCATCATTACATCACTATGGTTGTGACTGTCAGAGTTGAGCAAGTCTTGCAGTGTCTGGGTGCCAAAGCGGGTCGTGCTGATGCTGGAGAAGGACGTTTGCTTGTTCTCCTGGATGGTCTGCATGGGGGACGAACGCAGAGAGGAGCCCGCCGTGTGGGGGCCGAAGATAGAGTTACTGTAGCTAGCACTTCCATTAGAAGAAGAATTGGAGGATGGAGAGGAAGTGGAGGAAGGTGAGGCTATCCCACTGGGTTTGGACCCAAAACTGAAACCTGAGGAACCATTTGGTGCAGTCTGGCTGGAAGTGGTTGGCACCATGCTGATGTTCTCCAGGAACTCATCCATTATGTCATCTGTGAGTCCATCATTCAGATTCATTGTACCCGCCAGGTCTGCCAAACGGGGCAGCTCAGTCGGCACAGCCTTCCCATTCGTCTTGGCGTTCCCAGGAGACAGTGTTCTGCCAGGACTGGAGTAGAGCATAGGCGAGAGAGGCGGCTCGTCATCAGGCACCTCGTCTAGCTCGGGGTTGGCCAGAATAGGTGAGAGGCGGCCACTCACTGTGCTGGCATTGGAGTTTGTGCGAGAGCGGAAGTCTGTCCAAGCATCCAGCTCCTCGCTGCTGCGTGAGGTCGGGCTTCCAGGCCACTTAGAGAGACCTGAAGGACTGTCCGCACCACCTTCACCAGCTGCAGCAGCTGCAGCCTGCAGGGCTGCCTTCTTCTTGGCAGCACGGCCGCGGGCGGACTTGGTGTACTTGTTGCTGTTGTCCATGGAGACTGCCCGGCGCCGTGGAGCCTTACCACCCTTTCCTCCTTCTGGATTGATCATCCACCAAGAACTCTTTCCTGTTCCCTCATTTTGGACACGGATGAAACGACTGTGGAGGGATAAGTTGTGTCGGATGGAATTCTGTAACACAAAACAGAGAAGAAGACTCAGCTGAGTGCTGTGTGGAAAATACTTTTTGCGACAATTACTCAAACTATGCTTGTCACCAGTATGGATTTGTATCCATTCTTCTTTTTGCCAGTGCAACATTCAATGAAAACCTCTCATTAAGTTCAACAACACTGATCCATAAACCACCCACGAACGCTCATTCTGCAGTCACGTAAACAGTTCTTCTCAGTGACTAGACGTACAAACAGCAAAAGCCTATTGTTTCAATTGTTGATCCACTAAATATAGACAGGCTCACATTAACATTGTGCACCACTTAGCACTGATGTCTGCATTGTTCCCGCTGTAGCTTTTGTGTTGTGGGCATAAAAGAGAAAAGAGAGAGACAGTGTTCTAAAAATCAAGCCTCCTCAATAATGAATGACACATACAAAGAGCCTCTATATGTCAGATCATGTGTGTTTGCGTGTGACTGTTTGTCTTGGCTGGTGTGTATTGATCAGCTCTGAGCTCTTTTCTTGTGAGAGGCCAAAAGGCCCACTGTGGGGCAACTTTTTCACATGACAGTCCCTGCCAGTGATCAAGAGTTTCATTCACGACACAGAGACGTACGCGCGCATTAAAGGCCCAAATGACTACATAACAACCCTGTTGAAATGCTTGTTGTCTTGGTGCTGACTATGTTAGCATTAATAGTTAGCAGGCGTACATTTGTTCGTGCTTCACATTGTGCAGAGACTTTCACCACACTAGCAATCATTGTCGAGCTACTTTCACACGTGCACTGCAGCCCAGAGGTTTTCTAGACATTACCCAGAAACGCAAATGTCAAAGTCAGTTGCATCTAACATTAAACACTCTTTACCCTACCAGCTTAACAGTACAAAGTCTGTGTCGTGTACAACCCATCCTTTTTTATAAATAGAGCCAGTAATATGCAGAAGGACCCATGCCATCATGGGTCTGCACATCTTTTTTCATGCATCTCCCATCACCGTACCCAAACAGAGCATTTCCAGTAGTGAGAAATGTTGTCATGTGCCACATAGGACAAAAGGCAACCTCACTGCTTGTATAGATCTGATCCTCCTGGAGTTCATGTGTAACTTCAGCCTGTTATCTGTCCATAACCTTGAAAATTGTGCATGGTAAAAGTGGTGTACTTATTAAACTTCATGTTAGAAGTGTAGAAGTGTCAGAATGATTATGTTAGCCAAACTAAGAACATGTGATACTGAGGTGACTATCTGATATTTCTAGTAGTTTCAGAACACAAAAGACTGAAAGAGTCAGATTGGCTTCCTTTGGATGCAATGGCTTGGGTTATAGTTAAACCACAAGATAAGAGTCAAAGGCCAGTAACAGATAACACAGCTTGATAAAACTGGGATACTATTTAAACAAGAGGTCTTGCAAGTTTTATTCATGTGTGTCATTATGAGTTTCCATTTGCACAATAGCAAAGATTCACATGCCTTGTTTACTTTAGAGAAGTCTGTTCACTTCAGTACTCTTTTCAATAATTAAATAATGCAGCTTAAACTGAGGATTGCATTGTGTAAAAGCAGTAATTTAAGACTTGAAACTCAAACTTGATCCCTAAATTACAAACATGTTCTTATCCATCTGGACATCCACCCCCCCCTTCCGGCCATCGCACACATGCTCCCACACAACACACATGCCGCCATCTGGTTACATAACAGGACATCATTTCATGGATCTTTTTATGACAGGATAACAATGTGTACACACAGCCATAGTCTCAAATTTCAACTCACAGTAACACCATTAGGAGTCTTAAAAAAAACATGCATTTTAATGAAAAATAATTCTGTTCTGGATCACTAACTTATATGTTTATAACCTTGCCTCTAGCATTAATTACACTTTCCCCGTCTTCTCAATTTATTGCAGGCTTTGCTGAATTAATTATTTTGCCTCAGTCTCCTTCTTTTTCCACATCCCCTCCTTCTTCCGCAGTTTCTGTTGTTTCACAAACACATAGCTCTTATGGGCCCTGTGGGACTCTGGGGCTATGCTATATCCTCCCATATAAACAACCCAACCGCCATCCACAACATGCACGCAATTTTCCCCTCTCCTTTTACCTCTTATGTATATTTTTACTCATAAAGACGGAACAGACTTCTGGGTTCAAATCAGCGAGAACCAACATCTTCTTGTTTTTGTGGGAATCACAATATTGTTTTCCACGAAGCAGCACCGTCTTTACCAGGCAACAGTTTACAGGCAATTTGGTCAGGACTGTTATTCTGGTCAAAGGCAGTTCAGTCAGAGAGGAGAGAGAATGGGTTTAAGTTACATTTCTGAATGCTGTGTTGGCAGAGCAAGATCTCTGGGGCCAAACTGAACCCATGACCCTGTGTGAGTGTATGCATATTTGAGCGTGTACTATGGGTGCGGTTGTGATAGTTATATGAAAACGCTCTTAAATGGTTTGCAACTGTTATGCAAAAACTTGTTTCTGTTGGAGCGTATGCTTCTTCCGACCCTTGCTATGCATTGCATAGAATCATGAATGATGGTGCGAACATATTTCTCAATTGTGCACCGTGTATTCTGCAGTGAGGTAAGAGGGGAATAAATACTAGAGAGACCAGTGTTTATCCTCTGCCGGCATCTCTCGAGGCATGACGTATTGCTGCTTTATTACAGAACACACACGTACATAAATGTTTCCATCTGCCAAGAAGTTATAAATAATGGCAGGGGATCGGCTTTGTAAAGGAAAAATAAAAACTTTGGCGGGATGAATAATAGGAGAATTTCTTAAAAAACAGAATTTCTTTATCCAGCTGGTATAAACATTCACCTGCCAGCGCCCGATACTTCATCAGTCCTTCTCCCTCGAAAGCCACTTGTTTAATGCATCTCTTTTTTTGTGCCATTGCTCGTTTCCTTCAAATGTCAAGTGTGATATTTCATAACTTTGTGTGACGGGCAAGTGATAAAAGCAAGCAGGGCATCTGCAACCACAGCATGGACGAGGAAATTTGGATCCATGTGAAAGGTAGGATAAGAACATGATGATTACAAGATGAAAGAATGAATAATGTGCATGCTGTCAGTACAATGTGTGATAAACTAGTAGAAGCAAGCCCTCCCACATACTCTTCCTCACAAACTGCACTGATCACCACTTTTATTCTGGAGATTTCAAGGATTTCCTTGGATTTGTTTTTTTTTTTAAATTTGCCTTGAGCACCACAATCCGAACTGTGCATAGATGCAGCACTGCCTGCGGTTTAGTACATGGAAAGTATGTTGTTTTATGATTTTGGTGGCCTGACCTTTTAACCGTTTAAAACATTTTTTACTTTGCATTTCTTGCAGACATTTAGCCTGTCGTGCAAACCACAACATCTCATTTCTGTCTCCTGTGATTCTTCTACTGCATTTAATGACACACCCAGCATATTGTTGAAATTTCCATGAGTTCATTAAACTCAATATAAAACATAAGAAAAACTCTTAAGACACATATGGTGAGCCCAATCCAAAGTCCTGGAGCTTAAATTTAAAACCCACCTCCTCCTGCCCATCTTAAGCTTAAATTTCCCGTCATTACTGACATGCACTCACTGGCCAAGTACATCAGTTCAACTGATTGTTAGTGCAAATATCGAATTAGCCAATCATATGCTGGGATTTTCCCACACAATCATGTCTAGGGTTTACAGAAAATGGCCTGAAAAAGAGAAAATGCAAAAAATGTCTTGTTCCTGTCAGGTGTGACGTGGGATTGGCATCATGGATGTGCAGCCTACATATCTGAAATGACTGTGTGACGCTATCATGTAAATATGGACCAAAATCTCTGAGGAATGTTTCCAGCACCTTGTTGAATCTATGTCAAAAGACTTAATGTAGCCTGAGAGTAGATTTCAAAAACGTGATAATATCATTACAGCTCTTTCTTGGAACTATTCTCTTACTTTGAGGCGACTTCCTTTTATTGATTTATTTTTAAATGTGCCTGATGGTTACCACCCCCAAACTATTAAAGTTGTTTCATTTGCTGAAAATTTGCACGTTAAGAATTTATGTGTGAACATGGTAAACTCACAGTGTGAGCTGAGTACTGTATACATACTGCTGTAGCTCCTTTGGGGTATTCCCGAAGCCCATTAATAAAAACAGCTCACTGAGACAGCAGCTCTGAATCATAGCTCCTACTATGCAGCCACGGCAGCTAAATAACGCACATACACACCTACAAACAGCAACAAAAATGAAACTGCTGATACTATCCAGGTAACTTTTGGGACTTTTTTCTTTTTAAATTCTTTCTTTCTTCAGACCTCCTCTTATTTCTCTCTCAGGTGAGCTTTAATTTCTGAGACTTGAAGTTTAACAGGAGGGCCCTGTCACAAAGGCAGACAAATTGATTTTTTTTTTAACTCAACCTTGCTTTTCATTTCTTGAAAAGAAAAAAAAATACTTCTTCAAAGATGTAGTTTGACAGTTTAGCATTGTTGAGAGTTACTTTAGCATCCGTATTACTCTCATACCTGTTGGTTAAATAGGACGTGACAGCCAGACTATGGTTATCTTTACACGGCACAAAGAGTGGAACGTTGGCAGCGACGACAAAAACTTGAATTATAATTGTGATTCAGTTGTGCTTGCAGATTTTGTTAGCCTCACAAAGAGCCATCCTAGCAATTTAAACACTCCTGAGCTAAACAAACCTCCAAGTTAGCCATAGCTTTATATTTAGACAGGCATAAGTGTGGCTCGAGAAGCTTTAATCATTTAATTTTTGCCAATGAAACTGATAACAGACACAGATTGCACCAACATCTGATTTGATATTTAAAATAAAGTGCTCTTTCTAATGATGTTTTCTCTGACTCACCTCTGCTCACCTAGATAATGCAGGTTCAGCTATCAACTGTTTGGCAGACCGGTTATCCAGGTTTAAAAGCCAACTAACTCAGAGTAGCCAGATAAAGTTGAATTTGCTTGG